GTATATTTTTAAGGCCTCATGCATCATTTTGAGAACTTTCATATTGATGAATGGGGAGTAAAATATATATTTAGAGGGTTTTCATCACCATCTAGAAAACCTGTAATTATCATCCTCTGAATAGGAGATTAGTTGCCACAGGTAAACACTTTACATTCATTGCCTCAATGCCCAAGGGAAGTTATCCTGTCTGGTGGTGTCTCAGTTCCCTATTGAGTAAATGAAAATAATAATGGTGAACACACTCAAATGAATGTTAAGGTGTTCCAATAATGAATGACTGTAAAACAGTCTGAAGGGCACAAACATATTGTAAATGTTAATTAGTTAAATTATTATAATAAAATGGAAGTGTCAGACAGGGTCAGTCTCTATCACTTATAATGGTACAAATTGATTGGTTAACTGATTATGGGTTTAGATAGCTTTGAAAGAATAATTTTTTTCTAACAGTTTTTCCAGTGTTGTGGATAGTGAAGACTTTACAAACCACCTAATATTATTGCCCCCATGAAAAGATTTGAAGTATTTGATGACCCAGAATGCAGAAATTTTTAGATGAAAAAAAAATTTTTTTAAAGGTTTTTTTATTTATTCATACAGAATTGGGGTACAGGCCAGAGATGCAGAGGGTGAGAGGATTCACCAGGGACAGAGTGGGGAGCAGAAAAGGCAGACTGACAAAGCACACTGCTGAGGGGAGCAGCGGGTGGGTCAGGAGAGGTCTGCCGTGCCATGTGGATCTCCTCCCGAGCAGGCAGGGATGGAACTCATGCGGAAGTGGCTTAAGCTTCTTAGTGCAGTGCTTTAACCCAGGGATGGCCCTAGATGAAAATATTTTAAGGTAATCAATACAAAACTGTAATTCAGACCATTGACTCATGCTTAGAACAATGTGTCATAAGTTGGAGAGTCAGTTCCTGTTCAGAGACTTGTTAATGGTTTTGTGTGACCTGGTCAAAATGTCATCTTTTGTTGATGAATTAATCAAGAAAAGCAGTATGTTGTTAGTATGTAATATGTTGCAAGTATGTAATATGTTGCAAATATGTAGGAGTCTTTAGTTTCTTGGGTAGGAGGCATTATGAGACAGCAAAGTATTATTAAGGTAATCTACTGATCTCTAGATGTTTTATAAATACTAATTAACTTATAATCTTTTGTGAGATAAGTTTAGCATATATTATTAGAGCCATTTTGGAGATGAGTTCTCTCTGATCTAAGTGGTAACACAGATCACAAAGCATTTCTATATCAAAGCAAGACTTAGATACTAGATCCTTCTGAAACCGGTGTTGACTATTTACTTAGGACACATCTTTTGAATTTTCTTAATGATAGATCTCCTCTACACCAATACTTACTACGAAAATTTAGGTATGCCTTCATCCTTGCTCAAAGGACAAGGTGACAAAATCTCTTTAGACCGTGTCTATCTATATTTTTCTTCCCTGAGAATGAAATTTATTCACAGTAAGAAAACACATATATTATCGTTTCTTGAGAATCGATGAGATAATACAACATCCATTATATAATGTGCCTATTGTAGATACTCAAAACAATTGAATTGAATGAAACTAAGTGGGGAAGCAGTCTGCTGGTCTCAGGGTTGTTTTTCATTATCTTGTTGTAATGATCTTACATTATTTTTTCCCTCATAAATGTAGCGATTATTGCAAATATGTTTCGAAATCTTTTGCTGTTGTTTAAAATGAACATTCTGTATTTTTATTAGCCAACTTTAGAAAATGTTTTTTTTGAATATGAATGAGGTTTGTTTGGCCACTGGAGTCCAAGATTTTTTTTTTTTTTGAGACTCAAATTCTGTTGTGCTAACTCTTTCTACAAAACTACTTCCCTGATTTGTTTGGGAAGGAGCTGATGTTTTTTTTTAATCTGAGACTGATTGGAGTTAGAATGTATGGTATTTCAGTTGTTTTTTTTTTTTTTTAAATTCCTTCTCTTGCTGGCAGGAAGGTAGAAATATGAACTGGTATTAGGCTGTGGTTAAGCGCACAGGGTGCCAGAGTGCCTGGGTTAGTACTCCAGCAACTTCGATTATTAGTTGTGTGACTTCTGACAAATTATTCAACCTCTTTTGGCCTTGATCTCCTTATCTATAGAAAAAGAATGTAGTAGTACCTACCTCATAGGATTATTGTGAGCATTAAATGATACAGAGACTAGAATCTGCCACATGGTAAGTGCTGGTTATCACTGCTATTGATTCTTTCCTTGACATTATGTGACAAGTCCTGGGTATATTTTTGGATTTGTGATCTGCGGTGTTTAATGTTAAATCCAAGAAATCATTCCCAAGACCAATGCAGTGAGGCTTTGCCTTGTGTTTTCTTTGAGGAGTTTTAGGTCTGTGTCTAGATCTTTAATCCATTTTGAACTGTGGATATTCAGTCTCTTACCTTCTAGGTTAAATTTACTCCTGAATATTTTATTCTTTCTGATGCTATTGTAAATGGAACTGATTTTTAAATTTCCCCTTTGAATAATGTATTATTAGTGTATAGAACTCCAAGTGATTTTTAATGTTGATTTCATATCCTGTAACCATGCTGAATTTGTTAATTAGCTTAACAGATTTTGTGTGTGATGTCATTAGGGTTTTTGATATACAAGATGCTATCTGTAAAAAACTTCTCTTTAGTTTTTTTTTATCTTGTGTTATTGCTCTGGCTAGGACTTTCAGTATAATACAGAATAAAAAGTGGCAAGAGTAGACATCTCTTTTTGTTCCTGAAATAGAGAAAAAATTTTGGATTTTTCACCCCTGGCATATTAACTGTGGGGTTGTCATGCGTGGTACTTTTTGTGTTGAGGTGAATTACTTCTAAACTGAATTTGTCAGGCATTTTTAGCATGAAAGGGTATTAAATTATGTCTTATGCTTTTTCTGCATCTACTGAGACAAATCATAATTATTTTAATCATTCCTTCTGTTAATGTGGTGAATAACATTTGTTGATTTGTGTATGTCAAATCGTTCTTGCTCCTCAGGAATAAATCCCACTTGATCATAGAGTGTGATGTTTTAAAATGTCACTAAATTTCATTTGCTAGAATTTTGTTAATATTTTTACATCTATGTCTACCATGGATATTGGTATGTAATTTTCTTTTCTGAAATGTCTTTGGTTTTGATACCAGAGCAATGCTGACCTTGTCAAATGAATTTGAGGATGTTCCCTTCCATTTAGATCTTTTTGTAATTTGAGAAAGAGTGGCATTAATTCTTTAGGTTTCACCAGTGAAACTACCTGGTCCTGGGTCTCCCTTTGTTGAAAAATTTTTGATTACTGAGTAAATCTCCTTAGTCATTATTTGTCTGTTTAGATTTTCTGTTTCTTCAAGATTCAGGTTTGGTAGGCTACATATTAGAAATTTAGCCATTTCTTCTAGTTTCCCCAACATGTTGGCATATAAACATTCTAGTATTATCTGTGGCCCTTTGTAGTTCTGGCATAAGTTGTAAATCTCCTCTTTTACCTATAACATCATTTATTTGAGTTCTTTTTCTCTCTCTTTTTTTGGTTAGTCTGGCCAAGGATTTGTCAATTTTATTTTTTTCCCAAAAAATCAGTTGTTGATCTCTCTTATTTACTTCTACCCTTTATTATTTCCTTTTTTCCCCTGCTAACATTGAACTTAGTTTGCTCTTAATTTGAGGTGTAAGGTTAGGTTACTTATTTGGAATCTCTTTTCTTTTTAGGTAGAGAAGAGCTGGGCTGTAGGCCAGAGGTGCAAGACAGAGTGGGGAAGAGACAGGCAGATCCACTGAAACACATTGCTGAGGGGAGCAGCGGGTGGGACAGGAGAGGTCTGCTGCGCCATTTGGGTCGGCTCCCTGGCTGGGGATTGAACTCAGGCAGTCCCAGTGACGTAATGAAGTTAAATCTTTAGGTTACCAGGGAGGTCCTGGAGTTTCTCTTCTTAATGCCAGCATTCCTACTATAAATTTCTCCCTTAGTGAAACATTTAGAATAGATATTTTCATTTAATTCAAGATTATTTTTGAGTTTCCTTTGGATTTCTTCTGAGATTTATTGTGTGTTCAGGAGTGTGCTGCTTAATTACTACTTAGTTCTTGAATTTTCCTTTGTTATGCATTTCTACTTTCATACCATTGTAGAAAAACTAATTGATATGATTTCAATCTTTTAAAATATGTTTTGTGGGCTAATATTGTTGAATTTCCCACCACTCTATCTATTCCACATCTTTCATTTTTCTCTTAACCTTCAAATGTTACCATTTATGCCATTTATGGGAATTGTCCTTTTTTTTTTTTAAATTTTTTTAAAGATTTATTTATTTATGCACAAGCCAGAGGTGCAGGGGTGGTGAGAGACTTCACCCGAGACAGAGTGGGGAGCAGAACAGGCAGATCGACCAAGTACACTGCTGAGGGGAGCAGCAGGTGGGTCAGGAGAGGTCTGCCGCACCCTGTGGCTCACATCCAGGGCCAGAGACCGAACTCGCACTGAAGTGGCTGCGGCTAGCTTGCAGTGCTGTGTCCTAAGCCATTGTGCCATTAGGGTGGGCTCCAGAATTGTCTTTTTTAAAGGATGTTTCTAATTCTTCTATTCTTTATTTTCATTCTTATAAGTGTATGGCACTTAGAGATTTAATTTTACTATTTTGTTTTCATCATCAACACTTAATATATTAATGTACTATTGAAGGATGGAAGGTTTAAAGTTTTATAGAGCTGTAAAACTAATTACAAGTTTGGCTATTAAACTTACATCTAACTTGTGAAGACCACTGAGCTAAGTAGGAGAAATTAAAAATACAATTCACCTTCTCTTGAGGAGTATACTTAAAATGCAAAAACCAATGACCAGTGAAGATGACTTGCAATAGGAAGAATCTTTATTAAAACACCACCATAGAGAAAAACAAAGAATGTTACTATTCTAAAAGTAGTTTGTCTTAATTCAGTAGAAGAAAAGCAGAAAAAATAAGAGGTCTTTAGTTGGAGATCAAATTCAACCTACTACTTAAATCCAGGGACCTTCTTTGTGGGTTCAGGAAGGCACCCTCTGCTCACCATTCACAGTGGACACTTTGATGGATTTCTCCTCCATCGTGTGAACTCTGGAGGAGAGAACTTTGCCACGAGGATCTATTTCTTCAACAATTGTTTTAACCGTGGTTGTTCTAGGTAAATCTAAAATAACACATATGAACTGTTAGAAGTAATAAAGGGCAAATAATGAACTCATCATTTGAAACATACAAATAAATGCTGAATACTCAACACAGCTGTTGTTTACCTTTTATCTGATTTCCTAGTCCTCCGTAGCCTTTTGATTTGAAACAAGAACTGTGAAAATATAAAGAGCTTGAATTAGTTATTTCACTTTGTGTTTTGTTGAGGAAACTGAATAAAAATGACTTAAGATGGGAGTTCATTGAATTCTTAAGTAATACTAGACAGGGATTACAGACATATGGCTAGATCATAGATTTTTTTTTATGTGATTTCTCACTGAATGCTAAAAGTAATGAATGGACTTTCTTCTCCAGTGCATATGAACATTCTCACATTCTCACAAATAGATCATTTCCTTTGCTTTAGGAGATGAGTCTTTAAAGATGTTACTGAGATGTATGTTTTGTAGTATTTTACCTATATTTTCTTCTATATATTTAATGGTTTCAGGTCTTATGATCAGTTTCTTTATCCATTTTGAGTTGATTTTTGTGCATAGTGTGAGGTAGTGGTCTAGTTTCATTCTTTTGCATGTGGTGGCCCTGTTTTCCCAGCATCATTTAATGGACAAACTGTCCTTGTTCCATTGTATATTTTTTGCTCCTTTGTCAAAGACTAGTAGTTCATATATGCGTGGCTTTATTTCTGGACTTTCTATTAAGTTCCATTGGCCTGTGTGTCTTTGTTCCAGTACCATACTGTTCTGATTCCTAAAAATGGAGTTGCCATTTGACCCAGCAATTCCACTCTTCAGGATTTACCCAAAGGACACAAAAACATTAATTCAAAAAGATACATGCACCCTTGTGTTTATTGTATTTATAATAGGTAAAATTTGGAGACAACCAAATGCCCAAAGATAAATGGTTGGATCAAGATGTGATATAGGTACTTATGGAATATTATGCAGCAAATAAAGATAATCTAATGCTATTTGTAGCATTAGATGAATGGAGCTAGAAGGGATTACGCTGAAATAAATCAGAAAGAGTAAGAAAACTATCAGATGGTTTCACTTATAGGAGGAATATAAAGAAAACAAATAAGGGATCAGGGGGAAAATAATAACAATTAAAAAACACAACAGAACTAAACAAAAGAATCAGACAACTATAAACATTCTGCAGGGGAGGGAGAAGGAGAGGGTATAAAATGAGGGCAAGAAGAACACAGGAGACTGAGGTGATGGCACATAGGTGAACTGGTGGTGGGAATTCTATGGGGGACTACACCTAATGTAAAATATATACAAATAAAGAATTTAAATATATATTGAATAAATATATCATAATAAATACATAAAATCACATATTTATATAATAAATATATAAATATATATAATAAATATATAAGTATAAAAATATAAAATAAATATGTTATAATAAATATATACACATTTATATATTTATTATATATAAAACATATATATAATAAATATATAAAATAAATATATACACATATAAACATATGTATATAAAAGAATACTAACTAGGATATAAAACAAGTTTCAGAAAATATAGGAAAGTAGAGATCATGTCTTTCATCTTCATAGATTCCAGTGCTATCACACTAGAAATTAACCATAAAAGGAATCCTGGGACAAACTAAAACATATGGAGACTACACAAATGCTTCTGAACAATTTTTGGGGTCAATGAAGAAATCAAAGAAGAGCTCACAAAATATTTAGATACTTAGAGTGCCACTGGGGAAGTTCATAGCAATACAGGTCCACATTAAAAAAAAAAAAGATCTCAAGGTAATGCTCTAACTATGCATTTGAAGAAAACAGAAACAAAATGTACGTATTTTAAAAAGAACCTCAGAACCTCAAGATGCTTGCTCGACGGAAGCAGTACTTACTCATCCTCTCCATCTATCAGGCGGCAGTAGGTCTCGATTTCCTTCTCCAGGTGGACCTTGATGTCCAGCAGCTGCTCATACTCCAGCTTCTGGCCCTCGGTCTCGGTTCTGACCTGGTGCAGCTGCTCCTCCAGGGCCCCGATCTGGGCCTGGATCTGGGCGAGCTGAGTGCAGTAGTTGCCTTCTGTCTC